TCAAAAAAAATCAAAATTAGAAAATGCTGTTTATCAAAAATTTGAGGAATATAGCTAAAGCAATATTAAAGGAAAACTTAAACTTACAGTAGGGAGAGGGAAGAGGCTGAAAGTTAATGTGCTAAGAATCTGGCTTAAGAAGTTAAAAAAAGAACAACCAAATAAATCCAAATAAAGTAAAAAGTAAAGAAAAATAAATAATAATAAAGATAACAAAAGAAATGAATAAAATAGAAAATAAACATACAGTTGAGAGGAACGAATAGGGACATTATTATACAAGCCTCAGAGATTCAGCAGATGGTAGGAAGATATTATGATCTTTATGCTGATACATTTTTGACAGTTTGGTGATATGGATACAATTTTAGTATTTAACCTACAAAAATTTACTCAAGAAGAAATATAAAACCCAAATATTCTTTTAATTATTAAGGAAACTGAATCAAGAAAAAAATCTTCCTGCGAATACCACACCAGGATTTTATGGTTTTACTGGTAAATCCTACCAACATTCAAGAAACAGATATCCCAATCTTCTAGAAACTATTCCAGAGTAGAGGGAAAGAGAGAACACTTCCCAACTCTGTTATTATCTTAATATCAAATCCTAACAAGGACAGTCCCCTAAAAAAGTCTTAAAATTACAAGATCTTCTTAATTGTGGATATAAATGCAAAAAAAATCTGAATAAAACATTAGCAGACTGAATCCAGCAATGTTAAAAAAGACAATACATCATGATCAAGTTAGGCTTATCCTAGAGAGTGAAAGATTGTTTTATATTAAGAAATTGACAGATTAAAGGGAAAAAAATCATATGCTCCTCTCAATGGATACAGAAAGAGCATTTGATAGAATTCAATATCCTCGTGACTTAAAAAAATTCCTAGCTAACTAAGAATGGAAGAGAACCTAATAATAAAGTATCTCTGCAAAACACCAACAGTAACCGTCATACTATTGATTGGGAGACTTGGAAAGCATTCCCTTTAAGGTGAGGAGCAAGACAGGGGAGCCATCACTTGTATTGAGTGTTGTACTGGAAGTCCTAGCCATGAAGTCAGACAAGGAAGGAAGTGACACGGGGATCAGAAAGGAAGAAGCAAATCTGTCAGTATTCTCAGATAATGTATCTGTCTGATTGGAAAGCCAAAAAGAATGTTCAGATAAATTATTAGCTTTGTAAGAGAGTTTTCCAAAATCAATTACATTTCTGTACATCAGCAATGAACAGGTAAGAGAATGTGATTACAGAAAAGATACCCTTTGTATCAAAGGTAGAATCATCAAAACATATAATGTACCTAGGGAAAAATCTAACAAAAGATATGTAAGACCTATTATTAAAAAAAATTATTAAACTTTATTGAGAATCACTTAAAAAAAAACAAATTAATGGAAGGAAATACAGGTTCATGGGTTAAAAGTCAGTTTGGTAAAGATGTCACTTCTCCCCAAAATTGATGTATGGATTTGAGAGGGTATTAGTTGTTTATATCTTTTTAAATTTGACAAGCTGATTCTAAAATTTACGTGGAAGAGAAAAGGGCCAAGAATAACCCTTTTACCCCTAAAGAATCTGAATGAGAGATGGGAGCCACGTGTAACTTGTCTTACCAGATACCAAGAATGATTATCAAGATTATTATCAAGCTAAAGTAATTAAGAGAGCGTGCGTGGTGTTGGCACAGAATAGAGAAACCTAAAACCAGTCCCCTATATAAAAACAGTTTATGACAGAGGAGCACTGCAATTAAAGGAGGAAAGGATGGACTTTTCAAAACCTAATGTTAGGACAATTAGTTATTGTGTGGGAAAAGTGAAATTAGATAGTGTTTCACACTATACACAATTTTAGGTTAGATTAACGAGTTAAAAATGAAAGGCAGGGCCGGCCCCGTGGCTTAGCGGTTAAGTGCGTGCGCTCCGCTGCTGGCGGCCTGGGTTCGGATCCCAGGCGCGCACTGACACACTGCTTCTCCGGCCATGCTGAGGCCGTGTCCCACATACAGCAACTGGAAGGATGTGCAGCTATGACATACAACTATGTACTGGGGCTTTGGGGGAAAATAAATAAATAAATAAAATCTTTAAAAAAAAAAAATGAAAGGCAAAAGTGTACATCTTTTATAAGACATTATAGAACAATATCATTATGATCTCAGTGTGTAAGGGAAGGATTTCTTAAATTAGACCCCAAAAGTGCAGACTGTAAAAGTGAAAATTGATAAAGTTGACTTTTTCAAATTAAGAACTTCTAAGACACCATAAAGATATTGTGGGCTTTTTGTTGTACCCTCCACCCGACTTAAATCCTTATTCATTAGAGATATATTCTCTAGTATTTATGGGTGAAATGACATGTTATCTTGGGTTTACTTTGAAGTACTCCAGGAAAAAAACATGGGGAGAGATATGAAACAAGAATGGTAGAATATTGATAATTATCGAAGCTAAACGATGGGAACACGGAGGTATCTTATACTATTCTATTTTTTGTGTATGTTTAAAATTTTTTATTTAAAAAGTTTTTTAAAGAAACCATCCATTTTTATGGTGACTGTCTTGGATTTTCTAAAATCATTAAAAAATGATTTTCTGAAGAGGTCACTTATTAAGTGTGTATCTAAATGTGATCTAATTTTTATCTCTGAGTAGCATTTTTCTTATAAATTAGTAAATCTTGAAACAACCACTAAAAAAAAATACTATAATGAGTGTGAAGAGACAAGTCTCAAATTGGATGAAGGTGTTTGTAATACATAGAACCAAAAAATTAGTATGCAGATATTAAGCAAAGAACTTCTAAAAATCAATAAGCAGTTTCTTAGATATGACATCAAAAGCATAAGCAACAAAAGAAAAAAATAGACAAACTAGACATCATCAAAATGTTTAAATTTTGTGCTTCAAAGGACACTATCAAGAAAGTAAAATGACAAGCCACAGAATGGGAGAAAATATTTGCAAATCATGTATGTGATAAGGGACTTGTATGTAGAATATATAGAGGAGTCTTACAACTCAACAATAAAAAAGACAACTGAATTTTTAAAATGGTCAAAGGATCTGAAAAGACATTTCTCCAAAGAAGATATACAGTGCCAATAAGCATATGAAAAGATTCTCAACATCATTAGCCACTGGGGAAATGCAAATTAAGACCACAGTGGAATAGCACTTCACACCCACTGGGACAGCTGTAATCAAAAAGACAGACAATAACAAGTGTTGGCAAGGATGTGGAGAAATTGGAACCTTTGTACACTGCTAGTGGGATTGTAAAATGGTGCCACTGCTTTGGAAAACAGTTTGGCAGTTCCTCAAACAGTTAAATATAGAGTTACCACATGGCCCAGCAATTCCCCTCCTATGTATCTACCTAAAAGAAATGAAAACATATGTCTGAACAAAACTTGTACATGAATGTTCATAGCAGCATTATTAATAATAACCAAAAGGTGGAAACAGTCCAAATGCCCATCAACCGCTAAGTGAATAAATAAAATGTTGTATATTCACACAATAGAATATTATTTACACCATAAATGGGCATAGAGTACTGATGCATGCTACAATGTGGATAACCCTTGAAAACATTATGCTAAGTGAAAGAAGTCAGACATAAGGGACCACATATTGTATGATTCTGTTTATATGAAGTGTCCAAAATAGGCAAATCTGTAGAGACAGAAAGTAGATTAGTGGTTGCCTAGGGCTGGGGGATGAGATGTATGGAGTGATGACTAACAGGTATGGGATTTCATTTTCTTTCAATGAAAGTGTTCTAGAATTGATAGTGGTGATGGATGCACAACTCTGAATATACTAAAAGCCACTGAAGTGTACACATTAAATGGGTGAAATTGTATGGTATGTGAATTATACCTCAATAAAGCTGTTTTAAAAAACATCAATAGACAACAACTCAATAGGAAAATAAACAAAAGGCATGTCTAGACATTTCACAGAATAAAAAACATCTGTGCACAATAGATACTTGAAAAGATGCTCAACCTCATTCCTAATGAGGGAAATGCTAATTAAAACCACAGTAGGATACAATCATATACTCGCTTGATTCACAAAAATCTTAAACTCAGGCAATACCATTTCTCCACATGTAGAGGAGATGGAGAAGTAGGGGAAGCTCATCCACTGCCAGAGGGGGTGTAAGTTGGTATAACTGCTTTGGAAAATAATATGGCATTACTTTTAGAGAGTGGAAGATGCAAGTATTTATGACCCAGCAATTCCACTCCTAAGTATACAGCTAAAGAAATTCTTGCAGTTGTGTGCTGAGATCACATATAAGAATAGTCACAGCGGCACTATAAAATTCAAAACCACATAAAACTAAGCAATATAATATTTAGGGATATAAATATATGTAGTAAATCTGTTTTTTAAAAAGCAAACAAGTGAAGGATAAACAGAAAATTCAGGATAGTGGGAATGGGAAGGAATTGGGAGAGTCTAACAGGGGATTCGGGGTAATGGTAAAGTTCTTTTTCTTAAACTGGGTGCTGGGGTGTAGGTGTATATTTTGGGGATGGGGCCAAGAGGTACCAGGCAGAGTTTATCTGACAGCCCAACATTGAGGGAAGATTTAGAAAAACTCAGAAGCATACATAGAGCAGTTTTTCCATGCAGTTCAATATTGAATGCTAATAATGATGACCCTGAGTTTCTAGAAAAGGTTAACATATTTAGCATCTTCTATTTAAGAAGCAAAAGGGATAAAATGTTCTTATCCGGGGGCGGGGGGGGACCTGAGAGAACTACACAAAAAAAGAAGCAACAGCAGAAAAGGAGTGTTTTAGAAAGGTTTCGAACAAAAGTGGCTAAAATTAAGTTTTCTATTCAAGGTGAACTTCATTTATTTGGGCCACTTCTTTATTCTTCAGTAATGCCAACTAAACCAGACATTGCTGTAAATAAGTAAAACCCCACACTCTCATTTTGGTCACTTAGTGGTTAATTTTCTCTTTTTTCAGATCCTGCTCACACTAAACCATGAACCACGAACACGTGGAAGAAAAACCTCTTCTCTACTCCCACCACTCCTGGGTGCATGACTGCGGGGGAAGCATCCACCAGTGCTGCGAGGGGTCTGTGGTATTGTTTTGCTGCCTCAGTCCCCAGAGCCTTCGAGCAGAAGTGGCAATACACTGTTGCCCGTAGCCAATCCAGACTTTCCTGAGACGACAGGAAAACACATCAGCTGGTTTTGATGGAACTTGGCAGTGGGGACATTCAACTGATGCGCTATAGACCCCGTCAGAGCACACATGTGTCTTTTACCCCCTTTACCCCCTCCCCCAACCTGCTTAGGTCTTCTCTGTCCCTCTCCTGCTACCACACAGAGATGATATAAAAGAGGCTCTTTGGCTATTTGCATTTTGCTTCCTCTTCTTTTCCAGATTGCAATATTAAGCTTTACTTCCTACAAGCCTAAAATCCCAGCAACGTTATCTACCCAAGTTGTTCTTCTGTTTTCAGAGTTTGGGGGGAAGGGGGAGCTTCCATCACGAGTTTCCGGAGAGTGGAGAGAAGTTGGTGTGCTGCTGACCACACAAGCCACTGTAAAGGCACCCTTTGGAATTACTGATTTCTAAAATTAATAAAGTAATTCTATTTTTATTTTCTTTTTTCCATTTACTAATTTCCCCACAATCAGTATTTGCAAACAAGACTGAAATGGGACCAACTTCTCATTATATTTCATTGCTGGGCAATTTTTTAAACTTTAGAAATGTGAGCTGTAGAGAGATGTTTTATTCTTACATTCAGTTTCAGCAGATGGTGGGTCCAGGCTCTCCCCCACGGGCAGCTCCCACACCTGGGAAGCTGGTGTGTGCAAATGTCTCTGTTAGCAGACCACAGCAGACAGGTCCTTCGGCGGCGTGTGAATCTGTATCCAGTCGCACATTGTTTACCTAAACAGTTCATCAGAACGAGGCAGCACAGCCCCCTGAGTGCTTTCCACTTAACCTCTGCTCTCTGGCTTCCTCATCTGTCCTAGTTCCTCTCTCTGGCTTCTGCTGGAGAAAAGCTTGAAAGGTGGGCTGCAGAGCCCACCAAAGGATTGACTTAGCTGTCCTAGGGAGTTATTGGGTGAGAATCCAGAATCTGGGGTTTCTATAAGATGCTAAAGACTCAGCATTGAAACCCCAAAAGAAAAATGACACCCAAAAAGGCAGCGAGAAAAGAGACTTTATTGCCTTCTTAGTGAATGAAAACAGGTTTGAGCACATTGAAGCGTTTTGTTTGCTTGTGAAGGATGAAGTCTTGTCAATTGCAGGAGAGAAGAGAGAATGTATACCAGATGGTCCTGGGACTTCTGGTTAGAGTTTGAGGACCATCTTAACTGTTTGCTAGCTTGGTTGTGAATTGGTTAGGAGACAAATTAGAATTCCTTCATAGTCCCCTGCTGATGTGTAGAACTGGGAAATAAGATGTTTAGGGAGACTCACCACATGGATCTTGTGAAAAAGGATAAGAGTATGAGCCTGTAAGAGAACTTTTAGACCAACTGGAGTGCTTGGGATTGCCCTAGGTAAGCATCAGAATTGAATCCTTAAGCTAATTTCTTACTGCATTCACCATGTGCTGATCAGGTGTAAGACCAGAATCCAGATCTCTCCCTTCATTTACCTAAGTACTTTCAAGTCATTTTTACTGGTACTGGACTTCAGTTGGTAATAAACCAGACAGATCATACGATCCTCCCTCCAACAGCAGTGTCCCTCCTTACCTTTCCCTAAAACAAGCATGTATTTTGGAAGATGGACAGACAATGGTTCAAGTTTCTATAGTGCCTGTAAATGACATGTGGAATGGGGACGCTGGACTTCAGACCCCTGCCCATATTTATATCTGCTGATTAAGATAAGAATAGAGATCGAACATAAAAAGAACATTTGGAATCACAGTGTGTTCTGTTTTCTTTGAGATACTTCAGGAAACACTTCTTGTTGCCTTGGTTCATTAGGATGAACCACAGGCCAACGTTTTAGTGATGTCCTATGAGGTTATAAAAAGGAAGGTTTATTCTAGGGCCAGAAGGATTATTTCCCTCTTCCTTATTTAAGCCTTAAGTAAGGACCAGTGATGTCAGTTATAAATGCACTGCTTGGGCTGGCCCCGTGGCTTAGCGGTTAAGTGTGCGTGCTCCACTACTGGTGGCCCGGGTTCGGATCCTGGGCGCGCACCGACGCACCGCTTCTCCGGCCATGCTGAGGCCGCCTCCCACATACAGCAACTAGAAGGATGTGCAGCTGTGACATACAACTATCTACTGGGGCTTTGGGGGAAACAAAGGAGGAGGATTGGCAATAGATGTTAGCTCAGGGCTGGTCTTCCTCAGCAAAAAGAGGAGGATTAGCATGGATGTTAGCTCAGGGCTGATCTTCCTCACAAAAAATTAAAAAATAAAAAATAAATAAAATAAAATAAATGCACTGCTTCTTAGGCAGGCTGGACACTACCCCAGTCCTAAAGACATCTCTAGAGATGCAGCCTGAAATTATACATTTTTATAAACATTTGGGTGATTCTTATGCCCAATGGAATTTGAGAATGACTTCTACAAGTGGGCAGACTCTGGAATTTGGACAGCAGTGGCCATGGGTGAAGAGCTAGGCATGCTGCGCCCCCTCTCTAAACCCTCGGGCTCCCTGGATAAGATGGAACACAGTCCCACCAGCCTGCTTTCAGGGCAGGGACACAGCCCCTGAAACACAGTGGAAGTAAATGGGTGCCACTTCGGATGAAGCCTGAGAGAAGCCCTTAGAATCGGCTGGGCGTGGACAAAGCAGAAAAAAGTCTTGGTGACCAAACTCAGGAGTTCAATGTGGGAACACTCCAGAAGGACCAAGGTACGCGCGCGCGCGCGCACACACACACACACACGCACGAACATATTGTACACGTCCTTCAACCTGCAAATTTTAGCTTCAATTAGACTTTTTTACCAGTGGTAACGTGACTTCAGTAGAGGAACATGTTTTTCAGGAGCTGCTAGGTGGTTCCTCATTCACTGCAGATGGTTGCTTCAAGTGGACATCGATACCACAACAGAATTCTGTATTGCTCTGGGATCTCTGACCTCTCTCTGATCACTGACCTCAAGGGAGAACTACGGGATTGTGCTTTTCTTGCTCTCTCCCATGGCCAAATCCCTGACAAGAGCCCCACTGTCTGAAAAGGGGACCCTGGTCAGCTCTTTGAGGCTTAACCTGATAACAGAATCAGCCTCATAGTCCTAGGCCATTTGCCATGGTGAGTTTCTCTTATTCTCAACCGATTAGGAGGGTGAGATGAGATTTTCAAAAATGATGGTCATTTATAGTGAACGTACAGACCAACACATTGCCACGTGCAAGGGTTCACACCGGGTGATTCTGCCCACAGTTAAACTCATATGCTTTCTGCAAATCTGAGCCACAGCCTCTCTGTGTCTGAGAACAATATCCTCTGCAGGAAGGAAGGGAACACAAACAATGGTGCAGCCTTCTCAGCTGGCAGAAGGCAGCACGGTGTGCACTGTCCAGGGTATTCACACTAAGCAACGCATTCGATGTCTGAGATTCTCTGCTCCAGATTCCAGTTACCTCTGGATAGGAGCTGTGGACACGGAGTCACGAAAAGGGTAATGATGGATATTTATCGAGTCAGACTTATACCTCAGAATAAGGCTTTTACTGTTCTAGAAACAATCTTCCAGAAGATGAAATGATCCAAGATTCCCCAAAAATATTTATTTATACAAAGATTTTGAGAGTAATATTTGTATTTGTCTTTATACCTCAGTCTATGCATCTGGGGCCAAGTCATTGTGTGGCACACGTGTGACTTCCCCGCATGCCTCACACGTTGTAGCACCTGCTTCCAGGAACACTAGATGAGCACAGGGTCTTGGGGGCTGGGGGGGACCCATAATGCCTCAAGGCTGCACAGACCCAAGATCCAGACCTGTGCACCCTGACCTGGAAGGTGTCTAGCCAAATGTCCAAGAGGAAATAGGATCGAGGAAGAAGACGAGAGGAGGACCCCCAGAGGGCAGACAGGAGAGGGTTAATTCCCACCCTCTGCTTCTGAGTTCAGCATATCCACAGGGCCCAATATAGTTGATGGCCCGGGAACTACATTACCTGGATTTTCTCCCTGTAATGACCCTTGATGCTGATTGATGTCAAGGGGACAATTTGCAAAAAGAACAGATGTGTCCTTAATCCCAGGTAGTGTGAGATACAATTCTGGGACTTTGTCTTGGTAACCTGTCTGGAAGAAAAATGCTTGCCTTGTATAACGTAATCCAGCTTCCCTAGAGCAGATGAGGGGCAGCGATGAGCAAAGCTGACCTCAGCTCAGAAGTGTCTTCCAGTCTGGCCCTGTCCTGGCCATTCTCTGCCCTTTGTCCTCCCTAGGATATCCCAAATCCCATTGCCGCACCATGTGTCGACTCGCCATCCCTCTTCCTCTGTCCCCACCACCTCTGTCTACGTCACAGAAGATCTGTGTGTTCTGAAGAGTCCAGCCTTCCCCTAACCAAACACACACTTTCTTTACCACAGTGATTCTCAGAGCCAGCAAGAAAGAGAAATGTTCCAAGAGGGAACCTCCGTCTCAGCCATTTGCCTGGAGATGAAGGTTGTAGGCTCCAGGCCTCTAGGTGAGGTCTGTTGCTTTTGTGTTTCCGAGGAGCAGGCAGGCAGGCAGTGGCACTTCCTCTCTCTCCTCTCTCCGTCGCAGGCAGGGCCTCAGCTACACTTACAGGACTTCACCACCATGTTAGAAAGCTGTTCCACCTTGGGGGTCCTCCCGACATAGTACAGGATGGTCAGGGGCTCCAAGTCCTGGGGCACACAGCAAGGTGAGGCAGAGGCTTCAGGATTCAGGGTGTTGTACAGTCCCAGCACCTGGGGAGGGAGACATCATTTAGAGGTTGGAAAGCCAAGCCTCAGGCCTGGAGCCCAGGAACTTGCAGTTCTAGGGGATGCTCCAGAGACCGAGCAGGTGATAAACTGGCCATCGATGCTATTTCACAGGGATTGGTGGAACATAGTTTGGGTTAGTGACTAGTCGCTGTTCATCCACAAAGGGAGAATGCAGAACATTTGCACCTCTTGGAGCGCTATCATCAGTTTAAGCATGGAACAGTTATTGGGTGACTTTAAATTGATGATGAACTTCTCTTTGCTGTTAAGGAAACACTCTTCCTAGCTGTCACTGGTCACTTTGGTGAGAACCATTCTCACTAAACAGTGCCTTGGGCCATTTAATAAGTGCCAGAGGATGGGGCCCCAGACAGGATGTGGTAATAATGAGCTATAAGGAAACCTTCACACATTAATGCCCTATTTTTGATTCCCCCCTCAGGGAAAGACAGGCTGATTTCAGAGTCTGGACTTCCCTCTCTTCTCATTGTTTCATATTAGCTTCTTCTGTGTGTAGCTTATTCTACATTATTTTTCATAATAACTCTTCTTCCAAGAGGCCGCAATTATCAGAGTTCTTTAACTGATGGTAGAAGCCTTTCTGCCCCAACATTCCTTGCCAGCCATGTGCATCTGTGACATATAGGGTGGCATGTGATAGCTAATTAATTTCCATGGTACCAAAAGCTTTAGATAGAACAAATAAAAAGTCTGGTTGAAACTATGGAAGAAATTTTAAAGGGCAGAATGTGACCACATAGAGTTGGGCTAGGATGTCAAGATCAGACCCTTCACCAAAGGGATCTTACTCACCCCAGGTCATCATTTGCTCATGCAACGTTCAGTCCTTCATGCATTCTTTTTAACAAGTGGCCTGGCAGGCCAACCCCCGTGCCCTGTGTGGCATGAGCCCTGCTCCATACCGTGCTGTGGGTTGTGTCCGCACTGCGGAGGTACGGGCAAGGGCCTGAGCAGAAGTTGGCATAGTAGCCCTTAGGTTCATGGACCCATTTCCAGCCCAGATCCTGTCGAAAGTCAATGTAGAGAGGGCGCACACAGCAGTTCTCCTCCAAGTTGCTACAACAGAAAACATTTATAGAAAATCAACCTAAAAGGAAACCACCAATATAAAAAACTTCACAAATGGCTCTCATGTTTGCACTTGGAGTTCTTCCTGGGCATCCTAAGAGGTGGCTCTAATGAGTGGAATCCCAGGTTCAAGTGCATTGAGCTATATAAACTATAAAGGCATTTTCCTGTGCTGAAGACCATGATCTCACGGATGTAACAGGCAGATAGATGATGCATGAAGACGATAAAAAAGGCAAAAGTGGCCCTGCCCCTTTTACATCACGAATCAAAACAGACTTAAAATGCTCTACATAAAACCAAGCACTGAAAGCTACTGGCAACTCAGCTTTGTTGAGGTTGGTTTTGTTGTTACCTTCCTAATATGCACCCAACCGAAAATGAACTCAAAGCTCATACAGCTTGCATACTACAGTAGACGACTGCTTAGACTAAACCTAGAGGCCATCGAGTCAAAACGAGGCATATCCTTCTATTAGACTCATGATTCCTAGATCACCCCAACTGCGATTGTCAGGCCACTTCACTTCTGTTGCCTGCAGAAATCCATTTGGCAATACCCCTTGCCAAGTGGGCATCCAGCCTGTGCTTCAATATCTGCCGAGACCTAGAACTTGCTGCTTCCAAAGGCAGCTACTGGCCAAAATCTGGCTTCTTGTGCATTCCAAGGGTGAACCATGGCAGACAGTCTTGGTTACCTACTCAATAGCCATTCCTACCCCTCTTCTCCCTTGCCATGTCTCACTACAGTCTAGAACACCAGCTACTTTTTTTCCTGGCCTCCCTTGCAGCTAAGGGTGGTCATGTAACCCAGCGATGACCAATCAGACATAAGGAGAAGTATGCAGGGGGTGACGGCAAATTCTGGCAAAGATAATTGATCCTTTATAAAAGTCACA